GTGGCTGATGCTCCGCTTTGTCCTTAAAACTGACAAGTCAGCAGCGTGGGCCCTCAGCCTGGGCTGTTGGAGTCACGCATGGCGGTGCCACTACGATCACCACTACCACCATCTACTGATGCCTGTGGTCTATCCATGCCAGTGTAGCCACATCATCCCACTATCACTATCTAAACCTGGTGTAGGGCCACAGGATTGTACTCCGGGATGTACCCCGGGTCCCTGAGCACAGCATAGGGTACACTCCCTGAGCGCATGTGGCGGCAAACATCCCGACGCTTCACTCGTGAATATGATTCCTCACTATCACTACTCGCATGATCGTCAAGCGCAATAAAATCACAATCCAGGGTCACTATCATCATCATTACTGAAGTCAGAGGCCGGGCCCCACGCGAAAATATTAGTTTTCCCCTTGCGTTGAGGCACAACCGACCGTGAGTCACGAGTGCCCACACCAGAGGTAGAAGGTTGAGGATCGTCAGGGTTTTCTGCACTATTATCGATATCCTGGTCATTTTTGGGTCACTAACTGATCAGAGCCATAGAATTCGTCTTCATTTCCACTTCCATCAGTGTCAGAACTTCAGATAGGAAGAGGAGAGTCCCATTTTCCCGGGAGTGAGAGCTGACTTGCGACGGGGCATGGTGAACAAGGGTAACTGAGCTGGCGTTCCCACAATGCTATGCGGGCGCCTAGATTTTTTTGTTTATGGCGGACACCCATCATGCAGACCCGTTCTCTCACATGTAGGCCTATGAGCGCTTTTGCGCTAAATTTGACGGCGCTAGAATTTTGGTGTAGACTGCGGTTTTGGACACTAAAACATGAAGCCGTAGATCTAGGGGAGGGACCTGAAAGGGGTTAATAACAAGAAAAAGGGATATATACACTAGAATGAATAAAATACATGTCATTGGGTATGGGGCTAGGGGTGGTGACAGCAGCATTGTTGTTGGGTTTATAGGGCCACCACAGCGGCCATTCCTGCTCCTGACTACATGTGTAGAGAACCTAGGATAACCCAAAAAAGTCAGAGTGACTTATAAGGGCTACACTCGTAATGCTACACTTAATTGCTACACTTTGCCACTGCTGCTTCATGTTGTCTGCCACAGCTACCTCATGATGTCTGCCACCGCTGCTTCATGTTATCTGCCACTGCTGCTTCATGTTGTCTGTCACTGCTGCTTCAGTTGTCTGCCACTGCTACCCCATATTGTCTGCCACTGCTGCTTCATGTTGTTTGCCACTGCTACTTCATGTTGTCTGCCACTGCTACCTCATGATATCTGCCACTGTTGCTTCATGTTGTCTGCCACTGCTGCTTCATGTTGTCTGTCACTGCTACCTCATGATGTCTGCCATGATGTCGCCAAAGAATTGAACATTTCTGCTATTTTGAGCTCAATTTCAAGGTACTTTTCATCATGAAACTAATTAAAATCATATTTATTTTTGTAGTATATCTTCCATCCTACCACATGAGACCAAATAAAACGAGAATACAACAGAAAACATATGAAAAAAATACCGCCAAGGAGCTAAGTGCTGAGAAGTGACACTCCGTTATTTATGGTCCAAATTCTTTAATTTTTGTGTACGTTAAGAAACACTTTTCATCACACATTGCCGCAAATTTCAAAAAATTAGTCCAACAAACAACTAAATCCAATTCTAGATCAAGATGCAAGAGCCCCCTCACCACGTCAATGCGAACCTCCCTTGTGGCCATGCTTCGCATCTGGAAATTTTTGCCACTTCTGGAAGCAAAAAATCGACCGAGGCAGCTGCTGCTATCTGGGAAAAAAGGCACGTGGAAACTCCCCTAATCAGCACTTATAAGTAAGAGGTTCCACTGTATACTAAATATGTTTATACTATATGCTGAGTGGCAGTGGTAACATAAGATTAGTTGACAACAAACCCACTACCAGTCCACTAGCTTGGAAATATGGGGTAAGAGATGGCTCCTTGCTTATCGACCAACTTGCTTAACAACCCTAATCATAGAAACTGACCTGCCTCGACAATAACGTCCATGTTGACTTACGACTCGTGTTTAAATTTAGCGAAATTTCTGGGAAATAAACAACTGTTTTGTGTTGTATACAGTGTTTATCCTTAACCGTACAGTATAAAATACGTAATAAACTTACCAGTATAAAAAAAAAGAAAAGCAAAAAAATGAAATACCAAAATAAAACAATAAAATAAAAGACATTACAAAAAATGTTATGTCGATATTCGTAGTAGAGATTGACTTACGTCACATAGTTCCGACTAAATACCAGCTTGTGCGAACAAACTCGGATCATAAGTGGCAGATGAGTACCTGTATTCTTGGATTAGCGTGTCATAAGCACTGTTTTGAAGAAAAATGAGAAACCACCTGGGACAGAAAAAATGAACAGAAGTTAAATATGTACAGGGCCAAATTCAGAGCAGTTTGGAGAGGAGCTCTAACTAGGCTGAATACATTTGTTCCATTAGTTTCAATTTTCTGCCACCAATTTCTAATCTGTTTGATATTTGGCCAGGTCAGACTCGGCTCCCTTGCCCTGCCTTCTAGACTACTCTGATTGTAGCATCGACTATCTGGTCTTTGGATTTTATCATATCACTACATTTTGAAGTTGTGTATAAAGTTGCCTTCACCACTGCCTAAATCCAAATTATTCTCACTCTCACACCCTGAGACTGAGGCAAATATTTTCTTATATACCTTGGCTTCATTCAGTGTCCCTTGTCAGCTTCCAACCGCCATCATTCCTTGATCCTGTCCTCTTAACCAAACAGTCCATACCTATCTCTGCCTATTAATTCTCTTAAGATTTGTACATCATAATCATGCTTTTCCTTGTCCTCCTCTCCACCATACTAGTCTGTGGCTCATTGAGATTGGCCTAACACATGTTGTTAAAAAAAAATTGAAGGCATCGTTTGAGAGCAAGGTGCCGGAAGAGGGGGGTCTGAGGTTTGTTAACCTTTACATTATTTGGGTGACTTCAGGAAGGCCACTTGTTTGATCACATCTGTAGTCTGCATGAGGTCTTCCTTAAATTTAACACTGTCTCTCCTGTTCTTATTCTTCTAATTAGTTACTATAATCAGCTGCAAACAGTGATACACAAGGACATTCCATTATGCTGGTAGGGTCATTTAATTATATTAACCCCTAACTGTCCAAACATAGATCTACTTTGTTACCGACTATCACTCTGAACATAGATCAAAGTTATTTTTCCTTCCTCCAGATTTGATGCGAGAGGCCTGAGCGGCCTGACATGAGAGAAGGGTCTGTTCACTCAGTTGTGTGGCCGTATGAAAAAATCAGGACCCTTAGGTACTCGCATGGTGACAACAGTTAGTTGTCCAGCATCCATCTTGGTCCAACCCTCATTGACAAACCCGCGAGATTCACTATGCCCTCAGTCGACTACTAACACACAT